CTAATGAAGACCACAGCACTCTAGTGAAGACCACACTGGGCGACTGGAGATCACGACCATCTAGTGAAGACCTCATTGCTCTAGTGAAGACCTCACTGCTCTAGTGAAGACCTCACTGCTCTAGCGAAGACCACACAGCTCTAGTGAAGACCTCACTGATCTAGTGAGGACCTCACTGATCTAGTGAAGACCTCACTGATCTAGTGAAGACCACACTGCTCTAGTGAAGAACTCACTGATCTAGTGAAGACATCACTGCTCTAGTGAAGACCTCACTGCTCTAGCGAAGACCACACAGCTCTAGTGAAGACCTCACTGATCTAGTGAAGACCTCACCGCTCTAGTGAAGACCACACTGCTCTAGTGAAGACCTCACTGCTCTAGTGAAGAACACACTGATTTAGTGAAGGCCTCACTGCTCTAGTGAAGACATCACTGATCTAGTGAAGACCTCACTGATCTAGTGAAGACCACACTGATTTAGTGAAGATCTCACTGCTCTAGTGAAGACCTCACTGATCTAGTGAAGATCTCACTGCTCTAGTGAAGACCTCACATACCTAGTGAAGACCACACTGATCTAGTGAAGACCACACTGATCTAGTGCATTTTCACTGCTCTAGTGAAGACCACACTGCTCTAGTGAAGACCACACTGCTCTAGTGAAGACCACACTGCTCTAGTGAAGACCTCACGGATCTAGTGAAGACCACACTGATCTAGTGAAGACCACACTGCTCTAGTGAAGACCTCACTGATCTAGTGAAGACCTTACTGCTCTAGTGAAGACCACACTGATCTAGTGAAGACCTCACTGCTCTAGTGAAGACCTTACTGCTCTAGTGAAGACCTCACTGATCTAGTGAAGACCTCACTGCTCTAGTGAAGACCTTACTGCTCTAGTGAAGACCTCACTGATCTAGTGAAGACCTCACTGCTCTAGTGAAGACCACACTGATCTAGTGAAGACCACACTGCTCTAGTGAAGACCTCACTGATCTAGTGAAGACCTTACTGCTCTAGTGAAGACCACACTACTCTAGTGAAGACCTCACTGATCTAGTGAAGACCTTACTGCTCTAGTGAAGACCTCACTGATCTAGTGAAGACCTCACTGCTCTAGTGAAGACCACATTGATCTAGTGAAGACCACACTGCTCTAGTGAAGACCTCACTGCTCTAGTGAAGATCACACTGCTCTAGTGAAGACCTCACTGATCTAGTGAAGACCTCACTGCTCTAGTGAAGACCACACTGATCTAGTGAAGACCACACTGCTCTAGTGAAGACCTCACTGCTCTAGTGAAGATCACACTGCTCTAGTGAAGACCTCACTGATCTAGTGAAGATCTCACTGCTCTAGTGAAGACCTCACATACCTAGTGAAGACCACACTGATCTAGTGAAGACCACACTGATCTAGTGCATTTTCACTGCTCTAGTGAAGACCACACTGCTCTAGTGAAGACCACACTGCTCTAGTGAAGACCACACTGCTCTAGTGAAGACCTCACGGATCTAGTGAAGACCACACTGATCTAGTGAAGACCACACTGCTCTAGTGAAGACCTCACTGCTCTAGTGAAGATCACACAGCTCTAGTGAAGATCACACAGCTCTAGTGAAGACCTCACTGATCTAGTGAAGACCACACTGATCTAGTGAAGATCTCACTGCTCTAGTGAAGACCTCACTGATCTAGTGAAGACCTCACTGCTCTAGTGAAGAACTCACTGCTCTAGTGAAGACCACACAGCTCTAGTGAAGACCACACTGCTCTAGTGAAGACCTCACTGATCTAGTGAAGAACACACTGCTCTAGTGAAGACCTCACTGCTCTAGTGAAGACCACACTGCTCTAGTGAAGATCTCACTGGTCTAGTGAAGACCTCACCGCTCTAGTGAAGACCACACTGCTCTAGTGAAGAACACACTGCTCTAGTGAAGACCTCAATGCTCTAGTGAAGACCACACTGCTCTAGTGAAGATCTCACTGGTCTAGTGAAGACCTCACCGCTCTAGTGAAGAACACACTGCTCTAGTGAAGACCTCACTGCTCTAGTGAAGACCACACTGCTCTAGTGAAGAACACACTGCTCTAGTGAAGACCTCACCGCTCTAGTGAAGACCACACAGCTCTAGTGAAGACCTCACTGATCTAGTGAAGATCTCACTGCTCTAGTGAAGACCTCACATACCTAGTGAAGACCACACTGATCTAGTGAAGACCACACTGATCTAGTGCATTTTCACTGCTCTAGTGAAGACCACACTGCTCTAGTGAAGACCACACTGCTCTAGTGAAGACCACACTGCTCTAGTGAAGACCTCACGGATCTAGTGAAGACCACACTGATCTAGTGAAGACCACACTGCTCTAGTGAAGACCTCACTGCTCTAGTGAAGATCACACAGCTCTAGTGAAGATCACACAGCTCTAGTGAAGACCTCACTGATCTAGTGAAGACCACACTGATCTAGTGAAGATCTCACTGCTCTAGTGAAGACCTCACTGATCTAGTGAAGACCTCACTGCTCTAGTGAAGAACTCACTGCTCTAGTGAAGACCACACAGCTCTAGTGAAGACCACACTGCTCTAGTGAAGACCTCACTGATCTAGTGAAGAACACACTGCTCTAGTGAAGACCTCACTGCTCTAGTGAAGACCACACTGCTCTAGTGAAGACCACACTGATCTAGTGAAGACCACACTGATCTAGTGAAGATCTCACTGCTCTAGTGAAGACCACACTGCTCTAGTGAAGAACTCACTGATCTAGTGAAGACATCACTGCTCTAGTGAAGACCTCACTGCTCTAGCGAAGACCACACAGCTCTAGTGAAGACCTCACTGATCTAGTGAAGACCTCACCGCTCTAGTGAAGACCACACTGCTCTAGTGAAGACCTCACTGCTCTAGTGAAGAACACACTGATTTAGTGAAGGCCTCACTGCTCTAGTGAAGACATCACTGATCTAGTGAAGACCTCACTGATCTAGTGAAGACCACACTGATTTAGTGAAGATCTCACTGCTCTAGTGAAGACCTCACTGATCTAGTGAAGATCTCACTGCTCTAGTGAAGACCTCACATACCTAGTGAAGACCACACTGATCTAGTGAAGACCACACTGATCTAGTGCATTTTCACTGCTCTAGTGAAGACCACACTGCTCTAGTGAAGACCACACTGCTCTAGTGAAGACCACACTGCTCTAGTGAAGACCTCACGGATCTAGTGAAGACCACACTGATCTAGTGAAGACCACACTGCTCTAGTGAAGACCTCACTGATCTAGTGAAGACCTTACTGCTCTAGTGAAGACCACACTGATCTAGTGAAGACCTCACTGCTCTAGTGAAGACCTTACTGCTCTAGTGAAGACCTCACTGATCTAGTGAAGACCTCACTGCTCTAGTGAAGACCTTACTGCTCTAGTGAAGACCTCACTGATCTAGTGAAGACCTCACTGCTCTAGTGAAGACCACACTGATCTAGTGAAGACCACACTGCTCTAGTGAAGACCTCACTGATCTAGTGAAGACCTTACTGCTCTAGTGAAGACCACACTACTCTAGTGAAGACCTCACTGATCTAGTGAAGACCTTACTGCTCTAGTGAAGACCTCACTGATCTAGTGAAGACCTCACTGCTCTAGTGAAGACCACACTGATCTAGTGAAGACCACACTGCTCTAGTGAAGACCTCACTGCTCTAGTGAAGATCACACTGCTCTAGTGAAGACCTCACTGATCTAGTGAAGACCTCACTGCTCTAGTGAAGACCACACTGATCTAGTGAAGACCACACTGCTCTAGTGAAGACCTCACTGCTCTAGTGAAGATCACACTGCTCTAGTGAAGACCTCACTGATCTAGTGAAGATCTCACTGCTCTAGTGAAGACCTCACATACCTAGTGAAGACCACACTGATCTAGTGAAGACCACACTGATCTAGTGCATTTTCACTGCTCTAGTGAAGACCACACTGCTCTAGTGAAGACCACACTGCTCTAGTGAAGACCACACTGCTCTAGTGAAGACCTCACGGATCTAGTGAAGACCACACTGATCTAGTGAAGACCACACTGCTCTAGTGAAGACCTCACTGCTCTAGTGAAGATCACACAGCTCTAGTGAAGATCACACAGCTCTAGTGAAGACCTCACTGATCTAGTGAAGACCACACTGATCTAGTGAAGATCTCACTGCTCTAGTGAAGACCTCACTGATCTAGTGAAGACCTCACTGCTCTAGTGAAGAACTCACTGCTCTAGTGAAGACCACACAGCTCTAGTGAAGACCACACTGCTCTAGTGAAGACCTCACTGATCTAGTGAAGAACACACTGCTCTAGTGAAGACCTCACTGCTCTAGTGAAGACCTCACTGGTCTAGTGAAGACCTCACCGCTCTAGTGAAGACCACACTGCTCTAGTGAAGAACACACTGCTCTAGTGAAGACCTCACCGCTCTAGTGAAGACCACACTGCTCTAGTGAAGATCTCACTGGTCTAGTGAAGACCTCACCGCTCTAGTGAAGAACACACTGCTCTAGTGAAGACCTCACTGCTCTAGTGAAGACCACACTGCTCTAGTGAAGAACACACTGCTCTAGTGAAGACCTCACCGCTCTAGTGAAGACCACACAGCTCTAGTGAAGACCACACAGCTCTAGTGAAGACCTCACTGCTCTAGTGAAGAACACACTGCTCTAGTGAAGATCTCACTGATCTAGTGAAGACCACACTGATCTAGTGAAGATCTCACTGCTCTAGTGAAGACCTTACTGCTCTAGTGAAGATCACACTGTTCTAGTGAAGATCACACTGCTCTAGTGAAGACCTCACTGCTCTAGTGAAGACCACACTGCTCTAATGAAGATCACACTGTTCTAGTGAAGATCACACTGCTCTAGTGAAGATCTCACTGCTCTAATGAAGACCACACAGATCTAGTGAAGACCGCACGGCAATCCACAACGCGTCGCGTCTCTCACCCGGCGAGTCTGAGCGATGCTGATCACGCCCGGGCCACGGAGCCGTCTCGCGATGCTTTTGCGGCTCCGTCTCCTGCTGGGTGGTTCCATCCTTGGCGGAGGCTCGATCCGAAATCCAAGCGGAGGCGCCGTCTCCTCCCTCCATAGCAGCCCCCCCACCACCACCACCAATTTAATAAGAAAAAATCTAATTCACTCTACGCTAACCTCTTACAATATATACATGCACGGGCTTATACAATAGCGACGATTTGACACGATGATGACAATGGATATGCTGAACGAAACGAAATCAATACGCGGCTTCGCTTTGATGTGATATAAACAGAACGATGGCGAATGGTGAATTGTTTACGTGATAATTTTATACAATCGAGCTATTCCGTTTAAATATACAATTGTACAAAAAAAAGAACAGCTAGCGAGCGAAAGAGCGAGAGAGCGAGAGATATGAATGCTCGTGGCGTCCGTTCTGTGTCGGCAGTGGAGGGGGGAGTGTGTGGGAGCTGCAGGGTTGGGTGTGTGTGTGTGTTAGCTAGACTGTGTGTGTGTTAGCTAGACTGTGTGTGTGTGAGCTAGACTGTGTGTGTGTTAGATAGACTGTGTGTGTGTTAGATAGACTGGGGGGTGTGTGTGTTAGATAGACTGTGTGTGTGTGAGCTAGACTGTGTGTGTGTTAGCTAGACTGTGTGTGTGTTAGATAGACTGTGTGTGTTAGATAAACTGGGGGGGGGGGGGGTGTGTGTTAGATAGACCGGGATGTGTGAGCTGGAGTGTTGGGGGTGTGTGTGTGTTAGCTAGACGGGGGTGTGCGTGCGTGTGTCTCTGTGGTCGTTCGTGGGAGGGATTGCGAGCTACGCCGGCGAATTGAATCTCAGGGCGAGAGAGAGAAAGAGAGAGGGGGGAGGGAGCGTGAGAGAGAGAGGGAGAGACCGAGAGGGAGGGAGGGGTATGGGGAGAGAGGAGAGAGGAAGAGCGTCAGAGAGGGAGAGAGAGCGTGAGAGTGAGAGAGAGTGAGCGAGAGGGGTAGAGAGATAGAGAGGGGGCAGAGAGGGGGGGGGGGTACATAAAGCAAAGCATTAAAAAAAATTATGATGAACGAAGCAAAGTGCCGATTACACCGAGCATCTTCTTGTTTCCTCTGATGGTAAAAAAAGAAAGAAAAGAGAGAGAGAGGTGGGGGGGGAGAGCGAGGGGAGAGTGGGAGGTCGTTTCCGTGCAGCCTGAACAGTCGTGACACGCGAGAGGGAGGAGAGTGGCTGGGATGGGATAGGGAGGGAAGAGAGAGAGAGGATGGAGAGTGGGGGAGGGGTCTGTGATGATGATGTGTGTGTGTGATGGAGCTATGCTGATACTGGTAGGAACCTCCTGGTTACACCAGCCCACAGGGGGTTATTGTGTCCGTCCGTCCGTCGTGCATCCAAAAATTGGAGGGGTGGAGCTGGGTGGAGAGGGGCTGGGTGGGGTGGGGCTGGGTGGGGAGGGAGGGGCTGGGTGGGAGGGGCTGGGTGGGCTGGGTGGGAGGGGCTGGGTGGGGAGGGTGGGGCTTATTGGGGGGTGGGAGGGGTGGGGCTGGGTGGTGCTCTTATAAAACTCAACGTTTAACCTACTCACGCCGGCTTGTGCCCGCCCTCACAGTCGGCCATATATTTGCGGAATACACCACGCCGCCGTTGACCCTGGCCATTGACCGAGCAACCCAACGTTCCTACCAGCTCCCTCCGCAGGACAATGTATTCTGATGGGGCTTGTGATGGGGGCTTGTGCAGTGATGTGCGTGGTGGTGTGTCACGGCCAGGAGCTCGCCAACAGCACTTGCCCCACCAGTCTGTGCAGACTATACGGGGGAGCTTTGGCTTGTGTGTGACGGCCAACACCAGTGACGATTATCTGAACCGGTTCTGGTCCTCCCGTAGGTCGACTCGGCCTCAAAAATTAGTAGCTGGTGCGGTGCGTGAAAACATCGCCACTGGGGAGACAAAGGCGGCCGGGCGTGGTGTTGGCCACCCACCCCCCTCGTGTGCCGTGCTTGCCAACAGCACTTACCCACCAGACACTCTTGTTGAGGCTCTCTGTGGTGTTGGCCAATCAGTTTCAAAGGAGCCGTCCATAAATGACGTCACGCGATTTTGAACGATTTTTTACCCCCCCCCCTCCCTCGTCACACGGCGTCACAAAAAGTCAGAACCCCCCCCCCTCCTCAAATATGAAGTCACAAAGCTTTGCCCCCCCCCCCCCCCCCCAAAACCATATTTCCATTTTGAAAATAAAACATGCGTGTTGCCCTCCGGGCCGTCCCTAAATGACGTCACGCACCTAGGCGGGGTCAGACATTTGTGACGATGTGTGACGAAGGGGGGGGGGGGGGGGGTTGAGAAATGTGACGTCACATAAAAATGCGCAACTTTAAATAAATATAGACAACACGTTCTACTTAATTAAATAGACTTTGTAATACATGTTTTCTCCTACAACATCAGAGTGCAGCGCCACATTAAATACGCACTACAATGACAATAGTTTAAAGCGATTTGAAGCATGTTTTATTTTTTTTGGGGGGGGGGGGGCAGAGCTTTGTGACGTCATATTTTGGGTCTGACTTTTTTGTGACGCAGTGTGACTCGGGGGGGGGGAGGGGGTCAAAAATCATTCAAAAATCGCGTGACGTCATTTATGGACGGCCCCCTATCCGCACGACCATCCCATCATCTCCGGACCGCCGTGACGCGCTGCACCCGTGACCACGTGCGTCCCAAACGTTTCCCGTTGGGTGAGAGCCGCTTGTTGTGAAATCTTTAGACTTTAACAAAAACACGCGTACACACGCACGAAGCTTACTTCCCCTTTATTTTGCCTCTCCACACAAAGGCGAACTCAAGGCGGTGTATCATGATGCTCCCTCCTCCCCCACCAAAACGTGCCGAATGTTGTTGCATCGTAGGCAGTTTGGTCGCGGGCATCAAGGTCGAGTTCGCTGCGATGATAAACTAAAAAGAAACAACGGAAAACTTGAAGATGTTCGCACTAACGAAGATTGTATACAACACACACACACGCGGGAGAGGTTCTGGTCATCCCCGGAGGTCAACTCAAGTCTTAAATAAGCATCAGATGTTTGTATAAATACAATATCCCCACCCCCAAAGGGGAGGATACACCACGGCAGTGAGAGTGTGGTTCTGGTCACACTCCGGTCCTAATGAGTGCTCGTTAAAGGCATTAGCAGCTCCAAACGTCTGTATGATATGGCTATTAAACACATTCATGCGGAGGGAGCTGGTAGGAACGTTGGGTTGCTCGGTCAATGGCCAGGGTCAACGGCGGCGTAGTGTATTCCGCAAATATGGCCAACTGAGAGGGCGGGCACAAGCCGGCGTGAGTAGGTTAAACGTTGAGTTTTATAAGGGCACCACGGAGTGACCAGCCCCTCCCCACCCAGCCCCACCCCTCCCACCCACCCCCCACCCAGCCCCACCCTCCCCACCCCACCCAGCCCCTCCCCACCCTCTCCACCCAGCCCCACCCCTCCCAATTTTTGGATGCACGACGGACGGACGGACACAATAATCCCGTGGGCTGGTGGAACCAGGTGGCTCCGACCAGTATAAGGGAGATTATGTTATGTTTTATTTGACCAGGTTAGGCCCACTGAGCTGTACGGCTCCTTTTTCAGAAGCGACCTGGCGACCACAAATACAAGCTCAAGCAAGTGGCTTCACGTGGAAATTTATAGCAGCCAAATACTCTAAAAGCATGATTATACATGAAATAAGTAATATTTTAAGAAACACGCTTTAATGAAATGTACCGTACTAGTAATGGAAGAACTCCACGACTCCAGGAAGTGGCCCCGAGGCTTGCCATCACGTAAGTGAGCGTGGTGATTTACAGCCAACGTCAGTTGAGCGTGGACAATTAGACCCAAGCCGAAACATAACACGTAAAAAATAATGTTTAAAAATATATTTTATAATGATAGAATATAGTATTGTCATCAGTATAACATGAGTATACCAAGTTTACAGTCGATACCACATTGGGAAGTGGGTTAAAATTGAGTTACAAGATTTGTGGATACAACAACAACGACGACAACAGCGACTTCATAAAAAGCGTGTAAAAAAATTAACCCGTAAAAACAAAGTTTTTCACTATAAATCCTTTATATGCGTGGCATCGGGGCGGCTAGAGTCCTCTCGTCCTCTGGCTTGAGATGGCTGCCACCTATGGGTCAGATGATTGTCTGCCACCATTATGCAATTGGTCATTAAATATTTAAAACATTTTCCCTAAACAGTGTAAAATTTGGGAAAAACATTTTCACGAAAATTAATTGTCACGCACAACGAGTCTGTGTGCAAAATGTCAGCTCGATTGGATCACGGGAAGTGGGTTAAAAAACGACCGAAAGATTTGCACGGTCGTAAGCAAGCAAACACGCAAGCAAGCAAGTGAACTTAATATAAAGGATTTAAAAAAGGTTTCGATGGCGTTTGAACGTCTTAACGCCTCCTTTTTTATTCACCAGAATAACAGAGTGAGTTAAATAAAAGCGTGTAAAAAATCCACGCAACTACGTGGAGACCACGCAAACTCCAAATATACAGCAGCAGGCATCGACAGGGTCGTGATCGAACCCACGCGTTCCTGTATCCCAGGCGAGGTAGTTAACATCTCGTCCCCGTGGCGCCGTGGAGATAATTGTGTCCACAACAATTCGCCTTGCACAGCTGTGGAGGGGACATTTGCTGGAGATTTAAATGGGCGACTGGGTGACCAGAGTAGGACGCGAGAAATTCCAGGAGATGAGTGAAGGAGAAAGGGAGAGGTGGGGAGATGAGTGGATGAAATGGGAGGGAGAGAGAGTGGGAGAGAGGCGGGGAGATAAGTGGGTGGAGTGGGAGCGAGAGAGGGAGGGAGAGAGGTGGGGAGATAAATGGATGGGGAGGGGTGGGAGAGGTGGGTGGGGAGGGGTGGGAGAGGTGGGGAGATAAGTGGATGAAGCGGGGAGATAAGTGGGTGGGGAGGGAGAGAAAGAGGTGGGGAGATAAGTGGATGGAAAGGGAGAGAGAGTAGAGGTGGGGAGGGGGTGTAGGGAGAGATAAAGGCAGGCGGGCGTGGGTGGAGGTCGGGAGAGATGGGGAGGAGGGCAGGAGAAGAAAAATACGGAGGAGGGAAGAGATACAGAGACAGAGAGATGCTGGGAGACATCTCGGGAGGGGAATGGCAGCAGGAGGAGGGGGAGGAGAGATGCACGCGGGGAGGGAACCCGACAGAAAACGTCAACAGTCCGGCGGGGAGGGATGGCGAGAGTGAGAGAAAAGCTACTTGGGGAGTAGCAATAATCCCGCGGTGCCATCTTTAAGCCACATCAATTGTGACCGGGCGGCCGTGGGTGGGTGGGTGGCGTCGTTCTTCCCGACACGAGCAGGACGCGGTGCCTGGCCCACACACGGACATAGACAGTCCCATAGACAACGCGTGAACGACACGGACAAGACAGCCCTATAGACAACGCGTGAACGACACAGACAAGACAGACCTATAGACAACGCGTGAACGACACAGACAAGACAGGCCCATAGACAACGCGTGAACGACACAGACAAGACAGTCCCATAGACAACGCGTGAACGATACAGACAAGACAGCCCCATAGACAACGTGTGAACGACACAGACAAGACAGCCCCATAGACCACGCGTGAACGACACGGACAAGATAGCCCCATAGACAACGCGTGAACGACACGGACAAGACAGCCCCATAGACAACGCGTGAACGACACAGACAAGGATGTTCACTCTCTCACTCGGACACCGAACTCCCAAGGATGTGGGGCTGTTACCACCTTCTCAGAATTAATTCGCAATTATTCCTTGGTGGCTTGAATTCGGTGGGAGGGCAGGGGGGGGGGAAAGAGTGAGATTTTTGCGGTTAGAGGAGCATTTGTTACATTGGGATACAATTCAAGCGAGATCATGAGGTTTATATGTTGAAAGCTTCTTTAAAATATCCAAAGATCCCCCATATAGGCTTAAGAGAGCGTTGAGGGCAAGCGGCGTTAGCGAGCCCCAATGCGGACCAGCACGGCACACGAGGTGATGGGTAAGACAGCACCACGCTCGGCCGCCTTTGTCTCCCCAGTGGCGATGTTTACACATCTCACTAGGTACTCGTTTGAGGCCGAGTCGACCTAAAGCCACGCACGCAAACGCGTGCCCCCCATAAAAAGTGCTCAATCCCGAAATTCGGATAACGCGAACAACATTTCACATCTTTTCACTTGTAATAATGTAAATGTTTTAAACGTCCTTAAACAATTGGCGGAAATAGTTTGACACCAACCAAGGAAAGAAATGAGAAAGACGTTTTAAAAATAACAAGAGAGAGAGAAAAAGCCATTTTAAACAGACAAGTTTTTAGTCGAGATTTGAAGATTTGGAAAGTGTTTATTTGAAGCTTTCGTGACTGCAGGAATCCATACTCTTTGGTTCTTTCGGTAAAGTCACGTAGGTAGAAAATTAATAGATCACGACGTTTCGATCGCAACACAAGCAATCGTCATCAGGTGGGACAACCACAGCAAGAAACAAACTGCTGAAGCAGGCGAAAGAGCTGCCGTGGCACGAGGTTATATAGGCCTCGGCGGTAGGGGTGGGAGAGAAGGGTGTGTCGTGTATAGTGTAGTGTATAGTAGTGTAGTGTATAGGTGTATAGTGTAGTGTATAGGCGTATAGTGTAGTGTATAGTTGTGCAGTGTATAGGTTGGTTGTGTATAGTAGTGTAGTGTATAGTGCAGTGTATAGGTTCGTAGTGTATAGTGCAGTGTATAAGTTCGTAGTGTATAGTGTAGTGTATAGGTTCGTAGTGTATAGTAGTGTAGTGTATAGTAGTGTATAGGTGTGTAGTGTATAGTGTATAGGTGTATAGTGTATAGGTGTGTATTGTAGTGTATAGGTGTGTAGTGTAGTGTATAGGTGTGTACTGTATAGGTGTGTAGTGTAGTGTATAGGTGTGTAGTGTAGGTGTGTACTGTATAGTGTAGTGTATTGTAGTGTATAGTGTTGAAGTAGGCGAGAGAGCTGCCGTGGCACGAGGTTATAGAGGCCTCGGTGGTAGGGGGGGACAGAGAAGGGGGGAGGGCAGAAAGTGGGACCCTGCAGGAGCACTTGAGTCACTGGGGGAGAGATCCGAGAGGCACGGAGAGAGACACACAAGGAGTTGGAAATAACAGCTGACATAGGCAGGTAGGATGGAAACATCACAGTCAGTTAAGACTTTACTTGGTTAATAACGTCCTTCCATTTCGATTTAAAGCTTTCGTGACTGCAGGGATTCGTCTTCTTGGTTCTTTCGGTAAAGTCACGTGGAAGGGAAGTAATAAAATAATAAAAATAAAACATAATAAACGAATTCTCACGACGTTTCGGCCACAACGCAAGCAGCCGTCCTCAGGTGAAAACCAGGTCTGTCTGCCAGACGCTGTCGCCTCGACAGACCTGGTTTTCACCGGAGGACGGCTGCTTGCGTTGTGGCCGAAACGTCGTGAGAATTGTTTTATTTTTATTATTTTATTACTTCCCTTCCACGTGACTTTACCGAAAGAACCAAGATGAACGTCCTTCCAATTTGTACCCATTTTCTCGGTTGAAGTTGTGTGTTTATATATCTGGATGGCTTCATGAACAAATCTCCGATAATAGCCGGTGGGTTTACAGAGTACCTCCGTCTTGGAAAAGTCAATTTCGTGTGAGCCCACTGCGTTAAAACAATGATCAGCAACGGCAGAGGTATTGGTTCTAACGTGTTTCAGATCTGCCTTGTGTTCGTGAACTTAGTTTGTAGACACTCGGATATTGCACATCAGGAATCACATCCTTTACAGATGGGATCAAATTACGGATTTTGTGTACTGTGTCGAATCGAACCTGAATCTTGTGTTTGTTAAAGATTTTGGAAATCTTTTTGGTAACCCCTGCTATGTATGGCTTCACGTGTTACTAAACTAGAGATGTCGGCTAGCAGTCATCTTTACATGGGATACAAACTAAGCAATAAACTTCTTCTTGGTTCTTTCGGTAAAGTCACGTAGAAGGGAAGTAATAAAATAATAAAAATAAAACATAATAATAAAATAAAACATAATATTTTATTTTATTATGTTTTATTTTTATTATTTTATTACTTCCCTTCTACGTGACTTTACCGAAAGAACCAAGAAGATGAATCCCTGCAGTCACGAAAGCTTTAAATCGAAATTTAAGCAATAAACTCTTTTTTATTTTACCAGCGATGAAGCTCTTTGTAGGCAGCTAGCTACCTGGCTATAGCAAATGATAGTTCAATGAAGTGGCTTGTCACGTGGAAATTTACAGCAGCCCAAATACTCCAATCAACTGATGAGGCTGGTTGTAATTACCGTCACTCAAATTGTAAAGGTTATGGGTTCACTCTCCAACACACAAGCGGTGTGCTGAACTAGTAACGAATTGGCACGCGTTGTTTACGTGACAAACCTTACTAACAGGCTGTGTCGGGTGTTGGCAGGTTTAAAGACACATTTTTATTTACGCTATCTAACCGCATAATGTTGGTCGCGAAAGCCTAGGTGTTAAACCAAAGTTAACATTGTTAGTCATCCAATCTTTCTATTTTCCACTGAGGAATGCCAAATAGCCTAAACGACACTCGTTTGTTAAACAGTAAAAGATAATTCATTTTATTTGTGCTCGTACGCCACTGCCAATATGCTCCTTTCATTTATATATTTTTATTAGAATAACAAACAAGTTAAATATCGACACAGCATAATTGTAGTTTAATTCATTTTCAGTGGTGGTCAATTTCCCAATGGCATGCTTCAAAGTGGCACAGAATTCATGACAACAATTTTAAACCCTCGCTCATTTATGCCTTTGCCAAACACACAATTAAATTATGATAACGCATTCACAGAGCAAGCTGCTGAAATACAACCAAGTGCACGCACACCCGTAACGAGCCATCAGTGCAGGGCCTGCAAATTATTACGTAAAACTTTACATCTGCGGATAAATATATAGAGGCATTCATCTTCGAGTGTGCCCTCTGTCACCCATGATCACCATCGACCATACACTTCGGCAAGAAATCCGTGCACTCTCACGCGACAGCGTTTGCAGACGCGAACGCCGCTCGGGTGAGCGGAACAAAGCTCTCCACTCGTGCAAATGATCTCCTCGGTCCAATGGACGTTTGAACTGCGCTTGCGGGCATCACAACGACTCAGCTGGCATGAGATGGCAAACTAGCAGAGCCGAGATGGGGCATGCTGATGGAACGGTCAAATCTAGGGTTGTTCAACGGTGACCGCTAAGTTTAACACGTAGGAATTCCACGACCAATATTGCCCATAACAAAGGTTGTTTTGGGTTAGATCGCGAAGATATGAATGCGTCGTTAAACCCACCACCACCCGACAGTCAATACGCAAGGTTTGTAAATGTTGCGGGTTTACTCTCCAACACACCGGTGTGCTGAACTGGTAACCGATTGGCAGGTTCTGTTTACGTGACAACCCTTACTAGTTGGCCGTGTCGGGTGGTGGTGGGTTTACCAACACATTTCTTTTTCCGCGATCCAACCCAAAAATAACCTATGTTATGTTTAACCGCGAAACGTTTTCAGCATCCACCGCCGGTTTTTGACTTCGACTGCTGTTAAAAGGTAAAGGTGTAGTCCTGCAATTTGCTTGCTCAAAGCCACTGCTGGCTGAAGGGGCATATCTCCCACGCTGGTCACTACATCCTGGAAGTGGTGGGAATACCCACGCTTAACCCCACCACGTGCGGCGACCTGCCGATCAACTAACCGGGGTTGTGCCCATTTATACTGCTGGGTACGCGGAGGCGGTCAATGGGGGGAGTGGGGGGAGGAGGGGGTATTTCAGTCAAAAGCCGCAGATGAAATCGAACCAGCGACCTCTGGATTGCAGTCCAGTGTGCTGACCGTTACTCCGCCGTGGCAGCTTCTTTGGTTTCTTATTAAAGCAAAAAAAAAAACACTTTACTGGCTCAAACATTTAAACGTGGAAATCCGGTAACCATTTGATTTTCTTTCACCAGTCTTTGTCACGCGGTTAATGGTAACGCAAACACGTGACTTTTTCGACAACCCCAAGTCCAAAGGCGTGCACGCACTCAGCGCTCGCCTCCATTCCTGCATTCGGGCAAGCGATTATTTCCACTTTTCTTTACGTTTCAGTGTGAGAATGGCTTGCCGAAAACGAGCCGCCACTGTGGATTCTACGAAGCGTGTAAACAATTAATCATTTGAAACAGATTCCTGCACTCACACACTACAAGCGCTGAATCACGCGAGTAGCAAAATCGGCCAGGAGATCAAATGTGATTAAATCCTCCATCCTGAATTGTAACACATTCTTCAATCGTGAACGAACAGACACACAAAAAAAGTGCAACCCTGATTCACGATAACTTTTTTGGAATCGTTGAGGAGTAAAATAACATGTCAAATGGTGATCCCATAGCACAATTTTATCATCACGGAGGAGCCAAATAAATACGTACATTTATGAACCAGAATCATGACAATTGTTTTAAGAGGGCAAAACAAATCTAATCACAGCCCCCCGAAATCATTTTTTGGCATCATGCAGGGCACAAATATAAAAATTGGCAATCCCAAACAAGAATCACAGTGTACCTGTAAAAAAAATATATAAATCCACAATCATTACAATTTTTGGGATTTACGTAGGGTCAGAAAATAAATCTATTGGTGATCCCAAATTATAATCCTTTTCAGAATCACGGAGGGAAAATTATAAATTCGCTGCTTGTGATCGTAAAAATTGGCAGAGGGATAAGAATAAATACATTTGGGACTGTCATGAAAACTTTAGTAATTACGTGGGAGAAGGAACGACATATAAATTAGCACCAGATCCACCATAAACGGAAACATAAACTTTTTATTTTACCAGGTAAGGGCCCACTGAAGCTATGTAGCTCTTTTTTAGAAACGACCTGGCCACAAATGATAGCTCAACGAAGTGGCTGATCATGCTGACATTTACAGCAGCCAAATACTCTAAACGCGTGACGTTGATTCGAAATGTGGAGGGAAAAACCAGAGGACCCGGAGAAAAATCCACGCGACCAAATATACAGGTGTCAGGATAGGGGATCAAACCCACGACCTCCTGCATACCAGGCGAGGTAGTTAACATCTAACCACCATGGTGCTGATGTAGTGTCATTGATGATGTCACTATAGTATAGCGACAGTACCGAGTGAGTGGTCCTGTATGTGCGGAGCCTCTCCCTGGTGCCTGATGGGCATACCAGGGGAGAGACTGAGTAAACACGAGAGGGCACGTGACCGGATGAGGTGGTAATCAGGGTGAGAGGAACACGTGATGTGGGTCCTGAACCCTCACGAAGGATCTGGGAAATGGGCGTGGCCAAGGGGAGGGTCTGGCCTCGCCGCAGGTATACAAGTCGAGCCCCTTGGGAGGCCAGGGTTGGTGCTGGCTGGGAAGAAATCTTCGTGGTCGTGCTCTTCGGTCTCCGGGCATCGCGCACGGGGACCAGGCAGCGTGTTGGCTGTCCTGGTCCGATTTAGTAGTTGTCCCATCCAGAGTGTAAATAGCCATCGCCCCAAGTGTATATAGTTAAGTATAGGAACGGTGGGTTACCACCCTATGTCGTTATCCCGTTAGTGTTAAGAGTTAATGTGATGTTAGGTAATAAAACGTGTTGCCACCAAGTTCTAGTGTGCGCCTCGATTGAACCCATTACACCAGCATTACACCCATTACACTAGCATTGCACACATTACACTAGCATTACACCCATTACACCAGCATTACACCCACCTCCACCTCCTCCTCCTATCCACCCACCCCGGCTCCCTCTTGCTGGGTGAACGGCCCCCAGTGAGACACGGCAGCCGGCCTAACGGGACACGGCCCTCGATTCGGCCTGCTCCATCCTCGCTGTGACGTGAGCCTCCAGGAGCTCTCTGAAATCGTGCAGGAAGTTGTACTGCTGCAGCGGAGAAAGCGGGTGACACGGCGGGGGTGGTGGGAGGGGGAGAGGGGGGGGGGAGAGGTGACCAAGTAAAGCCTTCACGGTGAGGCTGTGTGTTGAGTATAGATTATTATCGTGTTTTTTTAATTTCGGCGGCCCGCTGAGGGCGACTTACCTGCAAGGTCTGTATGGCCGCCCTCCCGCGCAACTCACGCAGCGCCGCTATCGCGTCCTCGGGGCTGAGTGACTCGGAGATGCGCAGCAGGAAGCAGGCAGCCACTGCGCACACGCACGCAGGCAGATACACGGACCGACAGCTGGGCTGACGGACAGATGATACGACGCAGTACGATTGGGATTCATGTATTACGTTCTCGAAAGACATCCTCCGCGGACACGGAGGGATGAAATTATTTACTGGGCGTGTGCCCGGTGGATTGTTAGGTCGCAGGACCGAGTGAGATGACAACGGCTTGGGGAGGACTTCATCTGACAGTGGATTGATTTTGACTGGACGATGACGATAACAGTGAATGGTTAACCCCCCCCCAGGGTTAAGATATTGGATGGAATGACCGTCATGCAACGGACATTGCTCTCGTGGCAGGACGGATGGAAAAAGTGCTGCCCCCCCCCCCCCCCTACCGTGTGTGGATCAGAAGCGATATCAGAGGTAGCTATGTGATATCAACTTCCACGGGCCGTTCTCTAACGCGGTGGTTTGTACTGCTCTGCGAAAGATACAAGTAGATTGTTTTTACCACACGACCCCAAGTGCGCCAGTGGGGTAAACGTAAAATAAAGGAAGATGGAAATGATCGTGAATATAATTACGATGTGCAATGTGCACAGGACTCACATAGGCAGGAGCGACCCAGGCCCCCGTAGCAACTGCAAGAGGCAAAACAATAAACATCACACGGTGTGCATTGCATATTCTTTGTTAAACTGTGGCCCTCACCAATGCTCAAGATAATCCAGTTCTATCTCATATCTGAGAGGAGTAGTAATTTTAGCAAATTATTTCAGATGTGACGTCACCGCTCACTTGCCGTTAAATATATTACATCCATTATTGCGCCCCCCCCCCCCCCCCCCCAAAATACAAAAGTAAATTTGTATACTTTTTTGCATTGTGTACAGTCTGGAAGCTACCCACGTGCCAAATTTCAAGTTTGTTGCATATTGGGAAGTATGCTAAACATTTCGAACAGACACACATATTCACAAATTTCCCTTTTATATATAGATAGATTAGCCTTGTGAGTCACCCAACCACCCAGGGCAAACATTACATAGAAAGGTCAGACTGTCCCTGGCTAAAGGCCAAGATAACGCCGAGGGAAAAATTAGGGCAATGATTGCCAACAATCGTCACCGGCAGCAATTGTTGCACCGTTTCCCATTCGATGGTTCGACTTTGTCAAAAATTTTACTTTTGAATCTGCGACCGTTGTCCTAGCGATCGAGAGCTCAGTTAGAGGGAGGAGGCGGCTGTCACTTTGTGGACGCGCAAAAAACTCCGGCGGAAAATTGTGCTAACTTCAGTTGGCGTGCGACGTTCGAAGTGTGGAGCGCGACCCTTAAACGACTAGCGCCGCCCTCCCCATGGTCGCCTTCCTCCACCAGCCGCTGCGATCCGTGGATCAAACAAATCACTCGAGACGCCGGTAATGGATGGCAGCAAGAGCAGTTCATGCGAACGCTGCCACGAGTGGTCGCACATTTGGCGCAACGGTCCTTTGCCGACTTTGCGTGACGAATGATTAAATTCACGATTGCAACAGAATCACGATTTGCCCAGATCCTGGACAAATCCAACCGCCGCTCCCCCGAGTGGGCAGTTGGTACGGCAACGCCCAATCAGAATTGCAGATTGCGGGTCACATTACGACCGTGTTAAAGCTTAACCGTTACAACTTTCATAGTGCCGCTTGTTGCTGGCCGCATAACACGTTGGAATTATTGGGCTCTGTGCTCAGCAACTGTGTTATAAAAAAAAATCATCAATCAAGAATCTGGTACTTTGTAGCCATTTAAGGGAATGTAGAATATCTGGTGACTGCAGAGAATTGCAAACATTTGATTCTGAAACACGTGATATTCACATGTAAATAGTTATATAGGAATTGGCCAAACATCACGGTTCTAGGCTCTCTGTGTTAAAATAGTCATAAGACTCAATGAGGCTTTCACAGATAAGTAAATGACTATTCAGCAGGCCTGTTAAGTGAATCGCCCAGCTATTTTAAGAGTTGTTGGACAAGAAAAATCATGCATATGCACGGTTCTTCTATTACACTTTCAAACGTGCGTTTAACACGTAGGCTTTTGCAACTAATATTTAAAACGTGTCTTTGTCCTCGGATGTATTTCGTTGTCAACAATGACTTTACGTTTCACGTCACAGGGCAACACAGATGCTGCACGTAATAATGAAGTAACAATGACGCCGTATTGGAGGGGAGAAGTGTTCACTCTTGCCGCCAGAACGCAGATGCCAGAAATATAATTTTGCCAGTGTTTTCTTTTTGGTCTCCCAAGTGTTCAGCATCCCTTTGATAAATTTGGCCAATTTGCACAAGGGTAAGTTCGAAGGACCCTTGGTCCGTCTCAATCGGGATAAAACTGTGCCAAATGAAAACAGCAACCAAATGTAGAATTTAGTGATAGGTTTTTACCCTTTCAACTGGTACAAAACTGACACCTTTATACAAGGCATCATGTTTGCAATAGCCGCAACACAAGTAGTCAAAATGCAAACAAAAGAAACAACTCTGATGATGATAATGATATGCACTGTCCTTGAAGTTGATTGGTCCACACCCGAGACAGCTACCAGTTGAAAGGGTAAAAACCTATCACTATATTTTGCCACTGGTAAAGGAGATGTCTCATAGAATAAATGTAGAATTGTTCTCCTGATTATTGTCGTTTGTATAATAATTGATCTTTAACTCACCGGTGAGCCGAAACAATAACAATTGGCGCTTTAAACGCTTGTACGGTTGACAATTAATTTGTGTCGGGCGGTGGTCTGAAAAGCAGATATGTCCAGACCATTACACGGCCTAACCCAAATCCAAGGACTAAAACTAACCTATTTTTATTTTACCAGGTGAGGCCCACTGAGCTATATAGCTCTTCTGCAAAAGCGACCTGGCCAAAAAGTGATAGTTCAACGAAGTGGCTTATCATGTGGAAATGTATAGCAGCCAAATACTCTAAATGCGTGTTTCCAAACGTCGAGGGAAAAACCGGAGGACCCGGAGGAAAATCCATGCGGCCACAGGGAGGAGAGGCACGCAAACTCCAAATATACAACAGGCGTCAACGTTGGGATCGAATCCACGACCTCCTCACACCAGGCAAGGTAGTTCACACCTCGCCACCGTGGCGCCCTCTTACAAAATCATAACATTGGCTGCGAAGTTACCTACGCATCATCGAGTACGCGAGACGTACTGGACGAGCACTCGCCTGCCGGCGCCCAGGGACCCGTGCATCGTGTCCAGGAGGGCGCAGCACTGCGCCACGTCGGGAACCGCGCCGTCGAGCACCGGCTCGTGATGCACGCGCAGGCCGCGGCGGGCGTAGGCCTCCAGCAGGTCGGGCACGCGGCAGTGGACCAGCTCGCCGGGCGTGCACAGCACCAGCACGTCCTGCACGCCCTGCGACTGCACCTCGTCTGACCGCACGACCGCGACGGCGGAAGGTGGGGGCAAAGGAGGATGCGAAACAGAGTGCCTGGTTCCAATGGTGTAAATGCTTACCCCGAGCTCTCATACTCTGATGGTGCATTGTCTTCGAGTTGTGCGCCTTTTGGCGTCATCTGGTCCAACCCATGTGAGACTAGGCTCTGAGGAAAACTGTCTAGGGTGTGGACCAATCAACTTCAAGGACAGTGCACATTATCAGAGTTATGTTTTTTGTTTGCATTTTGACTGCAGGTATTGTGGTCTATGTAAACATGACTCCTTGTAAAAAAGGTGTCAGTTTTGTTGCCAGATAGAAGGGTAAAAAAACAATTATCAGGGTGCCCACACATAAACCAGCGTTCTTCACATCCTTCACTCCTCCATCATCACCCCAAGAGCTATCCCTCTCTCCATCAATCCCTCGCTCCCAGGCTCCGGTTGTTCCTTAAAACACTTCTGATAATGTATAGGGTGACGGTGCCCGAAAAAGAAAAGACAGGGAAATGCCCAATGTTGCTCAATAGATATCATAATTGTTTTTTTACCCTTTTATCTGGCAACAAAACTGACACCTTTTTTACAAGGAGTCATGTTTGCATAGACCACAATACCTGCAGTCATAATGCAAACAAAAAACGTAACTCTGATAATGTATGCACTGTCTTTGAAGTTGATTGGTCCACACCCGAGACAGCTTTCCTTAGAGCATAGTCTCACATGGTGTTGGACCATATGACGCCAATAGATATCGTCATATGGTCTGACCGCTGCACCACCCAAATTGAGAAATGTCCTTTCGAAAGAAAAAAAGCGACCTCACCAAGATCCTTGTCCAAGTTTCTCCATGTCTCCTTGAATTTGCAACCTGTACAGAAAAAGGATCTCCTCGAAAAACGTACAGACGGCCAGCACATCATCTGCTAGTTTACACAAAGCAATCTGGATTTCATGAACGCTAATTGCGTCTCAAGGTGCACAACAATGACACGGCGCATAACAAGTGTCTGGCGAGCCGTGTGAACATGAACGTAAATATTGTACGCGCGTTCCAAAATGCCCACGTAATGAGTTGCATCACACTTATCGCAGAAAGACACTAAAGATCCATTATTCAAATTTCAAGCGGTTGATTGTGACACTATAAATGGATAAGTTTAAAATAGCTCAATGATTTATAATCAACGTTTTTGGGTTTAGATCACGTTATTTATAAATGTGTGGTAACCCTCCACCACCCGACACGACCAATCAGTAAAAAAAAGTGTCACGTTGACAAAAGACAAATAGTTCACTGCTTTAGCCCACCGGTGTGCTGAAGCGTGAAACCACATCATTTACAATTTTTGAGTACGACGTTTCGCTGGTAATTGCATCCAGCATCATCGGGCAATTGCCGGTGGGCTAAAGCAGTGAACTATTTGTCTTTGGTCAACGTGACACTTTTTTTACCGATTGGCCGTGTCGGGTGGTGGAGGGTTACGACACATTTATAAATGACGCGATCTAAACCCAAAAACGTTGATTATGAATAATATTGGTCGCGAAAGCCTACGTGTTAAACTGATAGCTCAATGAGTTAGCTCCTCACACCGTTTAGCTTCTGCGCTCTGGGCTGACAGGGTGTTCAACAGAAAAGTGCTCTGGAGCACTCTGCCCATTGAACCCACTCAAGGGATCAGTCTAACCTCCAGCCCATGGGTCGGATACAGCCCGCTGCTTAATGTCATATGGCCTGCGGTCGTATGACGCCTACCACTTCTAAGCAAGCATTTTAGCCACACTAACTGGGTACTGAAGGGGAATGTTTATGACCTGGAAACCAAGTTTCTTATTTTAGTACGCTCAGCGTCAATGTCAGCGCCTACTGGAGTCACCAAACTAACTGCGATGTGTGTGTCAGAGTTTGTGTGTAGATCGCTGATGTCTGAAATTTATAATTCATCCTCATTATTACGTTTATGCCTCCTCATGTACCATTGACTCGATTATCCGGGGCAATGGGGTGGATAGGTGGATACCAAAAAATTATCATATGTTATCCTCATTATAATGTTTATGCCTCCTCATGTACAACTGACTCGATTATCTGCCAACGTGTTTGTGGTCACATGGGCACTCAGCCACTGGACCCGACAGCTGTGAAGTCAGCTCACCTGGCAGGCTGCTGATCCCCAAGCTCAGCGTGGGATAGCCCACTATGGAGAGGTCAAGCCTGGGGTGGCAATCACAAAAAACACGACCGCGCAAACACACACACACACACACGTGTGCGGGTTAGCCAGATGACTCACAGGGCTGAGAGTACCAGCACAACGTAGTTATATAAAGGGACTCCTCCACTTAGGAACGAATTAGGTTCCAGGTCTGTTCGTAAGTCGATTTGTCCGTAAGTCCAACTTTACTCCTATCGATTCCAAACACGTTGTACGGCATGTACACTAAACACGGGGAATGGCTTTAAAAGTTGTACAATTCCCTATACATGTGTCGTGTCTTCAAAAATTACTCACACCGACACATGGTAACAAGTCACTTGCTTACACTTTATTACTCCTGTTCACGCGCCAGTTGTAGGCACTCCTATATCTATCTTTACTGTTACATATACTTCACTTATCTTCGCTCTCACCTATTCTGCACCTCACCTATTCTGCACTCAGCAACTCTGCACACAGCAACTCACTCGGCGACTTTGCACACAGCAACTTTGCACTCCGCGACCTTGCACACAGCAACTCCGCACACAGCGATTTTGCACTCAGCCACTCTGCACACAGCAGCTTTTAGAACTCTGCATCTCCACTGCTACCCTCGCCTACGTTGCCTCATACCCGCTCACCCGTCTGTCACGGGCGGGGGGTTCTGTTTACGTGACAAACCTTACTAATTGGCTGCGTCGGGTGGTGGTGGGTTTAACGCCACGTTTATATATTTATGCGATCTAACCCCAAAAAATGCCTGTTACGTATAATACTGTCATTTAATTGCTCACAGTTGTAAGGCAGTGTTAGAACGATGACTGTGCTCAATAAGTTTGGCTCAGAAACGGCAAGTTATCGACAACGTGTCACAATAACCGGGGGGAGAATCGATTATTTTGTTTGTCTCCTTTCGTGAATGAGTGAATGCTGAATCTGGAGACGCGCACCAGTCAATGCGGAAAGGCGGCTGATCGCTCTGTGCAGGGTCCACCTCTTCGTCCGACGAGTTGAACTCGCTCATGCCGTGAGCTGCTGTGTCCCTGCAGACCAATCACACACACCACGGTGCTGAGGAGGATAAACGGGGCTTCCAAGTTTAGCTTTTGTGCCTGACAATGACTTATTTTCAGTGATGTATGTTGAACTTCTTTCGCACCATACGTAGCCAACCGTGCTAATCGGCATTCACGAATCTTTACAATTCTTTAAGAGACGCCTCAAGACGCACAACCTTTTGAGTGTGTCCAAAAATGGGGCCTTTTATGCCAGTATCAAAGTATGAAAAAATAAGAATAGGTGTTTACCCTATCTGGCAATAAAAGCGGAGGTGTTCAGATGCTCAAACACCAAATATAAACCTTTTGCAAGGAATCAAGTCTGCATGACCCCCAAGGTACTTATGGTGAATATGCAAACAAACATGTTCTGATAATATTAGCCATTGTCTTTTAAACTGATTGGTCTACACCAGAGACAGCAACCTTGTTAAGTCTCACCAGTATCAGACCAGAGAACGCCAAAAGGCAAACATGTGGAGGGGTTGGGAATTTAAAAAACATGATTCTAGATTTGAAGTTTTCGTGACTGCAAGAATTCACTGTTTTTTTCGGTAAAGTCACAAAACCGTCACAGCAGAATTTTGCTGTGACGGTTCCACCTGAAGACGGAAGCTTGTGTTGCCTCCGAAACGTCGTGATTTAATTTAAGAAACATGCCCTGTTGCTTTAACTTCCGCGCCAGGAGATTTAACTGGTAAGCCCTGGATGTACTAATCATTACACCACGGCAGCATTCACACATTCACTCTACAAAGTGTACGGATTTTCCCCGTAGTATTCTCCAGAAAAGCCAAGCAAATCAGCCGTTTCAGAATATCTGGCTCCAAATCCTCGTTAATGTTTACTGACCTTTGACCACTTTTTAAAGCCCTTGCATTGCTTCAGGGCCTAGTCTTGCTGTTAAATAAGTAATATTTAAAAAATATTTTTTTAAACACGCTTTTATTAAATGTACTATTAATGGCAGAACTCCACGACTCCAGGAAGTGGCCCCGAAGCTTGTCATAACGTCGGGGACCGTGGTCAATTACAGCCAACGTCAGTTGACCGTGGAGAATTAGACCCAAGCCGAAACATAACATGTAAAAAAGAATGTTTAAAAATATGTATTAAAATGTTTATGATAGAATATGGTATTGTCATCAGTATGACATAAGTATACCAAGTTTGCAGTCGATACCACATTGGGAAGTGGGTTAAAATTGAGTTACAAGATTTGAGGATACAACAACAGACAGAGTGACTTAATAAAAAGCGTGTAAAAAAAGGTTTCGATGGTGTTTGAACGTCTTAACACCTCCTGTTTTGATAATTGTTTTTTTACCCTTTTATCTGGTAACAAAACCGACACCTTTTTTTTTTACAAGGAGTCATGTTTGCATAGACCACAATACCTGCAGTCATAACGCAAACAAAAAAGGTGTCCGTTTTGTTGCCAGATAAGAGGGTAAAAAACCAATTATATTTTTTACTGGCAAATGAGGTTCCAATGGTGTAAATACCTACTGTTTTATTCACCAGAACGGGTAAAACTTATTCTGATTTTTATTTTCACTTACAAAACACATCACTGTTCGTGCCTTCATTTGCGTCTTCACATAAATACACCATCACCAACCATGATCGATCCACTACTCGACGCAAGCCTCACTCAACCACCACCGCCCCTTGCACACGAACCGATTAACCCCCGTTAATCGCTGCCGATTGATCTGCCGCCTTATTTCCTATGATTGCTTTTTCATTGCTTTCATGGCTTTATTTTGGTGATTTCGAAAAGTGTATTGGTTTGGCCATGTTTGTTTGTTGTAGTACAGAGTTAGACTGATGGCCTTAATCTAAGTTGTCTTGTGGTTGTTGTTGTTGTTGTTTGACTTGCATCCCACTGGGATTTTTGCACACAGCGTTGGTGTACGGTGTTTTTTCTGCAATATTTTTGCTGTCTTTTCTTGAATTTTCTGTTTGCACTTAGTCACATATTCACTTTAAGATGTTTTTTGTTCATGTTTTTGTTTTTTGTTGTTGCACCCGATTCAAGAGCTGAATGGCTCACAGGGCTATACCTAATAAATGAACTTGAACTTATTAAACCGAAGGTTCGATAAAGGCGACTAACATTAGAGATGACCGATTTGAACAAGGCCTCAAAAACACACACGCGGTTAGCCGACACACCGAAAACACGTTCCCTGTCGCGTGTCAACACAAAACACAAAGTCGAGACTAAACAGGACTGTTGAGACTGAACACCCAAAAGCACGCACCTTTTCGTTGTTGACGGGAAACGTTGCTGAGAAGTTTAAATCTTTAAGCCGCTTTTGACGCGCTAAGATTGTGCTACCCACGGCAACCGCGCGTTTTGATTTCAAAAATGGTCACGTGGTGCGCAAATGCCGCCTCCCGATTGGGCGTCAATGCCCCGCCCCCAACCCTAGAGGCGCATCGTGATTGGTGGAGGTCGAGAAAGGGGGCGTCACCTGGAAGATGTCTTCTGGATGTGGAAGTGATCTTCTGAAACTCGAAGTTGTCTTCTCGTTCTGGATGAGATTCTTCCGAATCTTGAAGATTTTATTTCTGATTCTAGATTTGAAGTTTTCGTGACTGCAAGGATTCATACTCTTAGGTTTTTTCGGTGAAGTCACGTAGGTAAAAATAAGTAATACAATAATATATTATACTGATTTACTATTTTATTAATATTAATGATGGTTTATTTTTTTAAATGTCTTTATTATTTTATTATTTATTTTTTCCTACGTAACTTTACCGAAAAAACCTAAGAGTATCTTATTTCTGACTCTGAAAGGTGACTTCTGAATCTGGAAGTTATCTTTTAAAACTGAAAGATATGTTCTGAAAAATCGATGGGTCTTCTGAATGTCGAAGAACACCTCTTCTAATTCTGGAAGAGATTATTTCGAATTCTTGTAGAGGTTTCAGTTTCATTAATTAGGTACAGTATAAGCCCTGTGAGCCATGCAACCGCAACACACATAAACATCTTAAAGTGATTTCACGCAACAGAAAATTTCAGGAAAAAACAGCAAAGTCTTCCAAAAAAAGCAAAAATCCCAGTGGGATGCAAGTCAAACAATAACAACCATAAGACAATTAGAGTCTTCTGGAAGACGAGAAAATAGTTTATCCCACCCCGCACAATCTCCCGTCCTTTAACAAGAATTAACCTCGCTAAAAATAATCTCACCCGAGCTGACTTAGGTTAGAGCCAAGTTATTAGTCAACATTGTTTTACGTCTCTTGCAATACTTTCCATTTCTCATGCGACACAGTTGCATACATGTCAACCCCTTATCAGTGCCCGACCTTATTACAGATCATTTCAGACCTTTTTGGTCACCCCGTGTCCTTTATAAATCTCAACGTTCATCCCACAAAGTCCCATCACAAGGGAGAAACACAAACAAATAAACGATTATTTTTGGCCCGTCTTGAAACGGCTGTAGGCCATATGGACCTGAAAACTCAATTTATCTGTACGGGGTAAGCAGTATGGTCTGGTAGGTATGCAGTTGTTTTTGCTCCGATTAATGTTTGCTTGATTGCTCTACAGGGTGGACCAGATCTGTCTTGCGACCCCCAATTAATTGAACCCTAAACATGTTATTTTTTTCCGTTTTAAATAAACTTCACCTTCAAAAGATGACGTTTTGGGGAATGAAATAGGGGTCACAAGACATCTGGACCACCCTGTACTTTGATCCTGATTGTGAATCTTTAATCTCTGAGTTTCGCCTTTCCCACTGATGACCCAGGTAACCGTTGCAAATGACTCATCGTGGCCTCTCGCGTGCTCACCCTGCATTGGATTGACAGAGGGCTATAAAGAATGGTCTCACGTCTTTTTTTACAGCAATAATCTAATAGCTGCCGAATGATAAAAACGCATTCGCTTAATAATGCGTAATGAAACCACACTTGCTCATCACCATATACGTTTCTCTCTTAATTGACAATTAAAGGTGACGCACGCGTCGATTGGTTACTCGCGTGAAACGTGTGAAGCGTGCAGTTATAATCTAATGTCGCAGTTATAATCTAATGTCGCAGTTATAATCTAATGTCGCCGAAATCAAGACCCGTGCGTGACTTCGAGGGAAAGCGGCGACGTGGCGAGGCCTTTCATCCAGCAGTGGATTGCTCATGGCTGTTGACGATGACGATGCATGTCCCTAATGATCTGATGTTGATCACTGGTTTGTAATGCCGCGTTGGCAGTGGTAATAACACGAACCTTCGTCAATAACACTGCCCCCCCCCCCCAAAATGGAAATATATATGACGTTTCGGTTAAGGAACCTGATTCATAGCACATCATATTGATGCATGTTAACTTAATCAGTTGTTAGCCGTGGTCGGGAATCGAACTCAGGTCGTCAGGTTTATTGCGCGATGCGCTAACCCCTGCGCCACCGCTCCACCCACAAAGCAGGCAAATTACACCGATGTAACAAATTATTTCTAATGTGTATGTTGCATTCTATTACGTATGAATAACTTTATCAATGTGTAAGATTATACAACGTGCGTTCGATAATACATTGCACTTCAGATAATCAATTGCACTTCAGATAACAATTTTACTTTAGGTAATATATTGTACTAAATTTTGATTTAAAGCTTTCGTGACTGCAGGGATTCATATTCTTGGTTCTTTCTACGTGACTTTACCGAAAGAACCAATAATATATTGTACGCTAAATAATTGTACTTTCTGTAAGATAAAGCACGTTAGATAATGCATCGCACGTCAGAAAATACATTGTCCGTTAGAGCTCCGTGTTTGTTAATCTCAGCATCTGCCCCTTGATTAGTTTCAGGGATTGCAGGAATGCTAATCAGCCAGCGGGGCGACTTGGGGTAGATGGCTTCCTACTGTGAAGAGGGGTGGGGGTTGATTGAGGGAGGATGAGGTGGTGGGATGTGTACATAGTGCGGGGGAGGAGAAGGTGATTGAGATTTCAAAACACACATTCGCCTCTGCTCGCTGGGTTTTTTTGCGTGACCATTAAACACAAGAGCAGAGGGTTTTTAAAAAAAGTTCTACAACCTCCAGGACGTCGAGAACGTATCCAGTTCAGTTGCTTAAAGAAACTTGGAATAGCAGCAGCGTCATCATCATCATCGCCAGCAGCAAGAATCACAACAATGGGGACCCACGTGCTCATCTTGCTGCTGCTATCGTTGCTGTTCAACTACGCTCATCTGCTGATGGCTGGCACTTTGGGCCACGAGACCGCAGATAAAGCTGCGCCCGTTCAACCAGGGGTTGAGGATGACCTCGAAGATGATTTCAAGAAGCAAGAGATGCACTTTCTTCGGGCCCTGGGTCTCACTGAGCGGCCCAAACCCTCGGCTGCTCGCCGCGCCATCCCGGCTTTTATGTGGAAGCTTTACCGCGGAGGTGATGATGGCGGTGCTGCTGGTGGCGGTGCTGATGATGGTGGCGGTGGTGCTGGTGGCGGTGCTGATGATGGTGGTGGTGCCGATGGCGGTGCTGATGATGGTGGTGGTGCCGATGGCGGTGCTGATGGAGGGGATCGAGAGCGGCCGTGTCGCCTACCCCGATACGGAGTGACCGGCAACATCATTCGACATATTCCAGACCAAGGTGAGCCCTTGCTGGTCAGGTGGGGTCAACTCTGATGCTGTGACCTCCTGGCTCGTGGACCGAAATTTTGCACTCCTATTGTGTTTTGTATCGTTTGTTGCGACGTTCTGACATGCTCTTACTGGAGATGTGTGAAAGGGAGCTTTATAGCTCATCGGATTACTCCGGTATAAATACATATTGTCATCCTGATTATTAACACATTGGATGTTTTTTTTAACCGTTGCTCAGCACATGGCTCCAAAGGCTCCAATACGTCAAGCGGCCACCAAAAAAACCGTACTATGAAAAGTTATACGAGTAGATGAGTCAATAAATTTCGAGAATTGAGCAAGGTTATTATTGAGACCTGGAGAGAGAGAGAGGAGGGGGGGGGGAAAAGGACAATGGGAGGGAGTGCGGGAGAACGAGCGAAAGAGTCGTCGTGACCCGCAGGATATATATGTCATTGCAAAGCATCCTCGCCAATCGGATAGAACTATCCTTACTAATCGAGTTCGAGAGGAGGGGGGTGGGCATCATTTATTCCCGGTAACGACGCTGAGTTTCGAATGCCAGCTCGCGCGGTGATGTTGAGCCCTAATTACCTTTTTGTAACGCATTACTATTGAGAGAGTTTTTGATGTGTTGACCGCCAAACTTACAAGTAATTTGAAAGTTATTTGAGTAAAAAAAAGTGTTCCCCTAACCCTTGGTCCCAAATGTGACTCTTCATCTCGCCGTGTCCGTTTGATCTGTCTTTAAATGTCCACGTGGTGAGCCACTTTGTTGAGCTATCATTTGTGGTCGAGTCTCTTAATAAAAAAAGAGGTAATACCTCCGTGGGCTATACCTGGTGAGATAAACAAAAAATTGAAGTTTTAGTTGTCAGTGATTTGTTTACCTTTGCACTCCTATCGATTTTTTTTTGTATTGTTTGTTGTAACGTTCTTACCCCGTGCCCCTACTGAAACATCTGGTGGGGGGGAAAAAGAGCTTTATAGCCGATTTTAATTCAAATTCTCCATCCACCCATCCACCCTTGTGCACAGGCAGCCACGTGGACCTTCCACGGATCTCCACGACGCGTTCGCTCTGCGCGTCCCGACGGCTCCTCTTCAACCTGACGGTGGCGCAGAAGGCCGGCGAGAAGGTCGGGATGGCTCGGCTGCAGCTGGTCCTGCCGCCAGCGTCCTACGGCCCCAAAAGCGGGGAAGTGCCCGTGTCCCTCCGGATCTCGGCGATACACGAAGCAGGAGGGACGGAGCAGCAGCTGAGATCCATTGTGTCGAGTTCCGTGAGGCTCTCTCGCTCGGCTTGGACCTTCGACCTGACCGAGGAGGCGCGGAAAGCCATCGGCCAAGGACAGCTGAGCGTCTTCCTGGAAATTGAGGAGGAGGAAGAGGATGTGTTGCACACCGACGTGGAAGAGGTATCGTTGTCCTCTTCATCGAAGCTGTACGCAGCATTGGAAGGTGTATTGTCGTCATTGTCGTCGTCATCATCCACGGATCTGTCCACAGAATGGAATGAGGAGGGATCAATGCCCTTTTTGTCATCGTCCTCAGCAGCAGCAGCAGCGTCGTCGTCATCGAAGCCGAACGCAGGAGTGAAGGAGACCCCGTGGGCAGCAACATCATCGGCCTCGAAGGAACCGAGCCTGTGCGAACGTGCCGAGCAGGAACTTCGCTCCTCGCTGCTCCTCATCTCCATGGATGGCTCTCGGTGCACGACGAGACGTGCCAAACGGAGCGCATCCCACCAAAGTAGTATGGGCGACAATCACCACGACCTCCACTCCCCATTCCCCACGTCACCCCGGATCAGCATCAGCATCATCATCCTCAACATCAGCATCCTCATCCTCATCATCGTCGTCATCAGCATCTCCGTCACTCCCAGCAACGTGTGCAAGCGCCGACGACTCTACGTCGACTTCCGAGACGTGGGCTGGCACGACTGGGTGATCGCTCCGCAGGGATACCTGGCCAATTACTGCGCGGGCGAGTGCCCCTACCCGCTCGGGGAGGCCCTCAACGGCACCAACCACGCCGTGCTGCAGACGCTGGTGCACGCGGTGGACCCGCGCGGGGTGCCACAACCGTGCTGCGTGCCCGTGCACCTGTCGCCCATCTCCATGCTCTACTACGACAACAGCGACAACGTGGTGCTTCGTCACTACGACGGCATGGTGGTGGACGAGTGTGGCTGTCGGTAGTGTGTGTGTGGGTGGTTGTGGTGGGTGGTTGTGGTGGATGAGTGGCTGTTGGTAGTGAGTGTGGTTGTGGTGGGTGAGTGTGGCTGTTGGTAGTGCGTGTGGGTGGTTGTGGTGGTTGTGGTGGGTGAGTGTGGCTGTTGGTAGTGCGTGTGGGTGGTTGTGGTGGGTGAGTGTGGCTGTTGGTAGTGAGTGTGGGTGGTTTTGGTGGGTGAGTGTGACTGTTGGTAGTGCGTGTGGGTGGTTGTGGTGGGTGGTGGGTGAGTGTGGCTGTTGGTAGTGCGTGTGGGTGGTTGTGGTGGGTGGTGGACGAGTGTGGCTGTTGGTAGTGTGTGTGGGTGGTTGTGATGGGTGAGTGTGGCTGTTGGTAGTGCGTGTGGGTGGTTGTGGTGGGTGAGTGTGGCTGTTGGTAGTGAGTGTGGGTGGTTTTGGTGGGTGAGTGTGACTGTTGGTAGTGCGTGTGGGTGGTTGTGGTGGGTGGTGGACGAGTGTGGCTGTTGGTAGTGTGTGTGGGTGGTTGTGATGGGTGAGTGTGGCTGTTGGTAGTGCGTGTGGTTATGGTGGGTGGTGGGTGAGTGCGTCTGTCGGTAGTGTGTGTGGGTGGGAACGATTATTTGAACCCGTCCTGGGTATCCCCTAGCTCGACTCGGTCTCATGAGTGGCTGAAAGTGTGGTTAGTTAGTGTGGTGTGTTGTGGTGGTTAGTGCACACACAATTCAACGCAATTATGCTTTTAATTCCAGTGGCATCATTCGGCATTCATCTGGATTAATGGGTTATCTCAGCGGAGATTTGTATGAAGTTGTAATTATCAGTCAGATTTAATCACACATTTAATTTGATTGTGAAATTATAGTACCGTGTGCAATTAGCCTTTCAAATTTGTATTAATGCATTTACGAAGCGTTTTTTCTACTTGCATGCAATGCTACTGAACAATGCTAAGGTAACCTTTTATTGTGCAGATATACGTTAAATGCTCATGCTGATTTGTTGGTCTGATATCCTGAAACATAAGACATGTGTGTGTTTGCATCACAACCAACTTTTACAATATACTCTGTTCGAACAATTTATTTTAATAAAGACTTTGACAGTTTTCCTTACTTTTTCTGTACTGGTGAGATTTTCATATTCCCCCCCCCCTCCACTCTTGAGGCATCGTCGTCGCCATAAGTTGAAGAATCCATTTGGAATCTTTCCATCGGTTTGCCCCATATGTCCAGAGAATGGCTGTTGAGATCTCGCACAGGGCTTCTCTATTAACCCTTAAAATATCTTTCAAGTGAAAATGTTTGATTTTTTTTTACACACGAGGAGGCATGTATGTATTTTTAACCTTAATCTTAGAACTTTCGTGACTGCAGGAATTATTAGTATGCTATTTTATCTTTAGACGTGACTTAACCGAAATAACCAAATAATATTTTAACCTCTTTCGCACCGTACGTAGCCAACCGTGCTAATCGGAGGTTCGGCATACTTTCCCACACTGCTACGGAATTGTCACGTGACCGATGAGCTGATATGTTTCATTCTCAAGAGCTAGAATTTGGTACAATTCAGTGTGAAAACAATTTTGCGTGAAAGTCAGTTGTGACTAGGATAATGGAACCATCTCCCTCCAGCTACAAGAGAAATCGGCTCGTGGTCAGTTGTCGGGATGGAGCTGTTGCAAGGCTTGTGGAGAGCCTTCATCCAGCAGTGGATAGAGGAGATAATATCTGCTGATAATAATGCTGCTTCTTCATTCGTGTCGCTGATGTAGACGCATAGCAACAACAACAATTTCACATTCAGGTGGTAAAGCCAAGATAACCGATGTGATTTCTCATTCGCATTTGTGGATCGGGCATTGATTGCGACTTTACACGTTGCATGGACTTGTTCTGGATATCAGAATATCTGTTTAAAACTGGAGAAATCCGATGTGATGCTGATAACTGGAATCGATAATTGATGGATGTCTGCTGCTGCTGCTGATAATGCTGATTATGACGGTGGTGGTGGTAATGACAACAACCTGTGTAATAACGGGACTAATTTACAGCCTCTGTTAATCCACTGCTGGATGAAGGCCTCTCCACGACGTGATTTGACCATGGTACTTCAACAACGCTGGCCGCTGGAAATAATCATAATACATTTATGATCCCAAATATACGGGTTTTTTTGGGGTTAGATCGCGTAAATATATAAATGTGTCTGTCATTAAACCAGCCACCACCGACACCGTTAATTTAGTAAAGGTTTGTCACGTAAACCGAACGTGCCAATTCGTTAGCAGTACAGCACTAACCACCGGTGTGACGGAGAGAAAATCCACAACAATTACAATCTGAGTACGACGTTTCGCCAATAGGCGAAGGCAGATTTACACAATTTGGTGAGTGACAACACTGGGACTCGCCACGCGGTGGCGCAAAGTGGCCCACACACGTGTGCAGTGTTACAGTGTTTAAATGTCTTCTTGGTTCTTTCGGTAAAGTCACGTAGAAGGGAAATAATAAAATAATAAAAATAAAACAATAAAATAATTCTCACGACGTTTCGGCCACAACGCAAGCAGCAGTCCTCATAGTGAAGAACAGGTCTGTCGGAAAGACGGCGTCATTCAGACAGCGTCATTACACAAATCGCACCAGGGTATACTTATTTGAGGCCGAGTCGACCTAGGGGAGTCCCAGCACCGGCTCGTGATAATCGTTGGTAATCGAACCCGGGTGGTAAAGCCGGGGGGGTGGGGGGGGGGGGCTGTAACGCGCTAACCGCTCCGCCACCGCTCCCCGGCACTGGCCACGTGGTGGCGCTAAGTGGCCACATGTGCGAGTGATACAGTGTTTAATATATTAATATATACAGTGTTTAATATATTAATATATAAAGACACAACACGCACACACCGACAGACACAGACGCTACAGTACACCCCGTGATGTTAAAGACAGACGTAGTGTCTGTGTGTGTCTGTCACGCCGAGGAGGCGTCAGTAGCCGGCTGATGATCATCAGCAGCAGCAGCAACATCAGCAGCAGCATCATCATCAGCAGCAGCATCAACAGCTTCAGTAGTAGCGGCAGGAGCTTTCACGATCGCCGCTACAATCAGTAATAACAGCGGCGTTAAGAAAGAGCAGCAGTAGAAGCAGATCATCATCAGCAGCAGCAGTGTCAGCAGCATCATCAGCTTCAAGCAGCAGCAAGATAAAACACTACAATCAGCGGCATCGGTACTGTTTTTTTAAAGAAACGACAGCGGTGGAAGCAAGACCATCATCAGCAGCAGCAGCAGCAGTGTCCTGCAACAGCAGCATCATCAGCAGCAGCAAAAGCAGTGTCCATCAGCAGCAGCATCATCATCATCAGCAGCAGCAGCAGTGTCCTGCAACAGCAGCATCATCAGCAGCAGCAAAAGCAGTGTCCATCAGCAGCAGCATCATCATCATCAGCAGCAGCATCAGCAGCAGTGTCCATCATCAGCAGCATCATCATCAGCAGCAGCATCATCAACAAGCGCCGGCAGCAGTGTCATCAACATCATCGTAACAGCAGCAGCATCATCAGCAGCATCATCATCAGCAACGCATCGTTGTTCACCTCTGGGTATGTGTGAGTGTGATGTGTGTGATGTGATGTGTGTGATGTGTGTACGTGTGTGTGATGTGTGTGTGTGATGTGTGTGTACGTGTGTGTGATGTGTGTGTGTATGTGTGTGTGTGATGTGTGTACGTGTGTGATGTGTGTGTGTGATGTGTGTACGTGTGTGTGATGTGTGTGTGTGATGTGTGTACGTGTGTGTGATGTGTGTGTACGTGTGTGTGATGTGTGTACGTGTGTGTACGTGTGTGTGTACGTGTGTGTACGTGTGTGTGATGTGTGTACGTGTGTGTACGTGTGTGTGTACGTGTGTGTACGTGTGTGTGATGTGTGTGTACGTGTGTGTGTGTACGTGTGTGTGATGTGTGTACGTGTGTGTGATGTGTGTGTGCGTGTGTACGTGTGTGTGATGTGTGTGTGTGTGATGTGATATGTGTGTGTGTGGTGTGTGTGGACGTGTGTGTGTGATGTGATGTGTGTGCGCGTGGTTGTGTTCGAGTAATTTGTGCGTTGGGTAGAATTAGCATCGCTAATGACTACGGGAGTCATTACCTCGACGATGTTGACGATCGCTCGTCCGTGTGGGTCCGTGTGGGGTGAACGCGGCACACGCGGTCAGTCTACGCTCTTCCCTCGTTACATCCCGTATCCATTCACCTCATCACCTCCTCATCACTCACCCCCCTCACCCCCCCCTCACCCCCCCTCACCCCTTCCTCATCACCCCCCCTCACCCCCCCTCACCCCCTCACCCCCTCACCCCCCCTCATCACCCCCCCCTCCTCACCCCCTCACCCCCCTCACCCCCCCCCCTCATCACCCCCCTCATCACCCCCCTCACCCCCTCACCCCCCTCACCCCCCCCTCATCACCCCCCTCATCACCCCCCTCACCCCCCCTCCTCACCCCCCCCCCCCCTCATCACCCCCCTCACCCCCCCTCCTCACCCCCCCCCTCATCATCCCCCTCACCCCCTCACCCCCCCTCCTCACCCCCCCCCTCATCACCCCCCTCACCCCCCCTTCTCACCCCCCCCTCCTCACCCCACTCCTCACCCCCCCCCTCATCACCCCCTCCTCACCCCACTCCTCACCCCCCCTCCTCACCCCCCCTCACCCCTTCCTCATCACCCCCCCTCACCCCCCCTCACCCCCCCCTCCTCACCCCCCCTCACCCCCCCCCCCTCCTCACCCCTCACCCCCCCTCCTCACCCCCTCACCCCCCCCTCCTCACCCCCTCACCCCCCCTCACCCTCATCTCACCCCCCCCCCTCCTCACCTCCCCTCACCCTCATCACCCCCTCGACATCGTCCTCGCCACCATCTTCGACATCACCGACCTCAATATCATCACTCCCTTCACACCTTCCCCTCACACCATCATCATCATCAACCTCACACCATCATCATCAACCTCACACCATCATCATCATCATCAACCTCACACCATCACCATCAACCTCACACCATCATCATCATCAATCTCACACCATCATCATCATCATCAACCTCACATCATCATCATCAACCTCACACCATCATCATCATCAACCTCACACACACACACTCACGAGTGTATCTTCAACATCGGTGCATGTAGGTGGATCTTTGTCTATATATATTGAATCTGCCTTGTGAGTATTGTATTGTGTCTCTCGGGATCGGGGCGGGTTCTTAAATCATGTTTTGTATTAACCGGTAAACGCATGAGAAACGGTTACCGGTTTTGCCGTACAAACAGACACGCCTCGCGATCTTTAACAGAGAAACGAGGGCAAAGGTACAAACCCGGTGGCTTAGACCGCCGTGCGGTTTGTACGTCCGTGCGTACCAACCAGTGTACATCCGTTAGTAAAATTCCACTGTAAAACCGGTAATCGATTCTGAACAACGGTTATTGATTTACCGGATCTAGTCTTAAGAACGCCACAGTGGCTAGGAGATGTTAACCACCTCGCCTGGTACACAGGAGGTCGTGAGTTCGATCCCGACCCTGACGCCTGCTGCTGTATATTTGGAGTTTGCGTGTCTCTCTCTTCACCATCATCATCACGGTGACTAGGAGATGTTAACCACCTCGCCTGGTATGCAGGAGGTCGTGAGTTCGATCCCGACCCTGACGTCTGCTGTATATTTGGAGTTTGCGGTGTCTTTCTCTCATCATCATCATCACGGTGACTAGGAGATGTTAACCACCTCGCCTGGTATGCAGGAGGTCGTGGGTTCGATCCCGACCCTGACGTCTGCTGTATATTTGGAGTTTGCGTGTCTCTCGCTCATCATCATCACGGTGATTAGGAGATGTTAACCACCTCGCCTGGTATGCAGGAGGTCGTGGGTTCGATCCCGACCCTGACGTCTGCTGTATATTTGGAGTTTGCGGTATCTCTCTCTTCACCATCATCATCACGGTGACTAGGAGATGTTAACTACCTCGCCTGGTATGCAGGAGGTCGTGGGTTTGATCCCGACCCTGACGTCTGCTGTATATTTGGAGTTTGCGGTGTCTCGCTCTCTCCCCGTGGTCGCGTGGATTTTTCTTCGGGTAACTCCGATTTTCCCCTCCACATTTAGAATCGAAATCACGCGTTTAGAGTATTCGGATGCTGCTTTTCAATTTCCACGTCATAAGCCACTTCGTTGAGCTATTATTTGTGATAGAGCTGCATAGCTCAGTGGGTCTTACTTGGTACAATAACAATAGTTAGTTAACCCTCGTCTCTCTTTGTCCAACATCATTGCTTTTATCTCATAATCTTTATGTTCATCATCATCTCCGCATTCTTTTTTTCCATCCTGATTAAAATCATCATTGTCCATCCATCACCATCAAAATGACAATGATAGTGCCTTCAGTTCTGTTTTCAATCATCGCCCTGATCATAATCTTCTCAGGTATCTTGTCCATTATCGTCGTCATCATGATCATCTCGATAATCATCTCAATCTGGTTGACCATGATAATCATTATCATTGTCGTTATCATAATCTCCTCAATTCTGTTGTTTATGATCTTAATTATAACCGTCCATCGTAATAATCTTGACATATAATGCCCTAAATCATGTTGTCCATTATCATCATTGCTTTTTGTCATTAATTACATTTGTATGCCTCACTGATAATCTCCCTGTAAAGGGACTTATTTGCAATGGTCTCTCCTGTCTGTCCTCAATTAAAGGGTTCTAATGACAGCAATCTGTCCGTGTCTGTCACCCAAGAGAAACGGCTGACATTGAGGGGAGAGACGGGGTGAGAACTCCGTGGTGGAGGAGGACATTGAGAAAGCTCTGGAGGAGATCCAGCAGAAGGACCTGGAGGACTTCGGGGAGAAGGTCCTGGTGGAGGCCGTGGAGAAGTACATTGAGAAGGCTCTTGGAGCAGCCCCATCGGAGGACAATGCTGGAGGACGTTTGTATGGAATTGGACGACGGAGTCCATAACCCTGGGTCCATGGATCCCATGGGGACTTGCGACCCCTCGGGTCTCGACGATCTCGGGGATCATGGTGAGCCGTTGGACGGGTCCTCCAGAAGATCACGTGCCAGAACGTCATCCCGCCTTTCGGCCGATGCTGTGGAGGAGCTGGGTCCCGAGGAGGTCAGATGGTTCTACAGGGATGAGCGCAAGGCGTGGAAGCCTTTCAATGGCTACGACTCATTGCAGGTGGAACTTGCATACCGTAGGTACCACGCTGGCGCCGGTGGAGGAGTCGGGGAGGACATTGAGCCGGTGTGCGTGAGGGGTGGACTTTACGAGGTGTCGGTGGCGAGCAAGGAATGTTACCCAGTCTACTGGCAAGGTGAGAGTCATTGTTCGTGTGCCGGCAAAATATGTTTGCTCACGTGATAAGAAACTCAATCTGTCCATTTGTGGGTCAGTGTGTCAGTCTCTAGAATTACCCGAACAACCTTTTTTATCGTACACAAGTCGAGTTCGGGATCATTCACGACCAGAGCGTACCGGGGACCTATGGTGTTGATGATGAGCCATGTACGACATATGACCTTTTATTTATGTAGACAAAAGAACTGCCGCATAAGAACATCAACAGGCCGATGTGCGTGTCTCCTTTGCAAGCCACGGTGCTGCCTGCGGCTGGCCATGCAGCACAAATTACGGACCGCATAGTAATCCCATAGAGACCTATAGAGATATAGAGATCCGTAGAGACGCATAGAAACACGTAAACATATACGTTGAGATACATGGAGGTACATTACAGATAAACCACGGTAGTGCGATTGTGGCCATGAAACCCAAACTACGGACTGGATAGTAAACCACTTAAGTTTGGGTTACTACAACGGAGGAGGAGGACTAGCAGAAACTATACGAACTCCGTCTCCTGAAGCCCTCTCGTCTTGGCGAGCAGCAGCCCTCGACATTGGCATCGTGCTCCTAAACATATTTTTCCATCATGCGCAAAAGAATAGGATGTGTGGTAAAAAGAAAATCATAACCTGACCGATAAATGTCACCGTACAAAAAAATCTAAGGGGTTCTAGAAACTTCTCTACTGACTTCCCATTTCTCAGACGTTTTGGGGGGAGGGGATTAAAGATTTGGAATCCATTTCTAAAATGAATTTTAAAAAAACCTAAGATATATGTACTAGGGGTGTCATGATGTTACTGATTCGCCAATTAATACAGTGCAGTGTTTCACACTTTATGAACCTGGTTACCCGAATTCGATTCCCTGCTGTGGATAACATCAGTGGCAAGCGGTATCTAAACCAAGCCGGTCCTGGGTATGGGCCCCCCTTCCCCTTCACCAACTCGTACTGACCAGCGTGGTGAAGTATTGTCAAATAACCCCCATTATCCACACAGTGCAGGGAGGCAGTAAGTGTTGTCTGTACAGTATACACAATGCAAGTACAGTACCGTATGTTTGTCCATTGATTTTGTCAATTTACGTTGGCATAGGAAGCACCCATTTATATTTTTTGTTGGCAGTGGTTTGCTTAATGGAATACTGTATCAAGAATTGGATGACTTATGAGAATTTGGCACAGCCAACCTTAATGATGATGATTTTGCCATACAGTACAACTTGCTACGTAAGTGTGTGTCCAATTCCCAGCTGGGCTCTGTCAACATTACCTCATTATCCCTCTGTGTAGCTGGTAAAATGAGTATCACCTGACTAGGGGGCTTACGCTTGGGTGAAAATCAACAGGTTGTTGTCCAACTCCTATGTACAAACACATTCCAGCCATAGGAACGTGGAATTCCCACCACCGGAACGTGACCACCAATGCAGATTGGCACTGCCCGATACTTAAAAGGAGCACGTGGAACAGTGATGTTGGCTGTGTACTTGGCGACGTTTCAGGCAATGGCCCTTCTTCACAGTAAATACCCATTGCTCAAAACGTTGCCTGTTATATACTTTAAGTCCACACTGTTATTGACAAATGCGTTGAGTTTATATCATTATTTCTGCGTGCGCGCCAATGTGTACACAGTATCACCCCATAGTTTGATATTTAACCGTGACTTTTATCCCTCCCCAGTGCTGTAGCTATCAAGTGCGGAGGCCGTGCAACTGCACCAGAGCCCACGGGGCTAGAAGGGCCCAAGTTCCGGGCTACAAACATAGCTGGAGTGGAAACAGATTTGGACAGGGGTGGCAGGGGGGGGGGTGCCCATTTAATTTCTTGCAGG